GTGTGTGTGTGTGTGTGTGTGTGTGTGTGTGTGTGTGTGTGTGTGTGACTGAGTGTGTGTGTATGTGTGTGTGTCTGTCTGTTTGTTTGTATCATGTCCTACGATACATAATAATATTATTAAGTATATTATGACTTTATGTGCATGTACAGGGCGATCCAAAAAAACCTTTACAACTTGTTTTGTAAATATCTTCCTCAATACTGAAGTTTTGCGTTTCAGATTTGAAGATGACGTTTGGAAGCCAAAATGAATTTTTCTTATATGTATTTTAGATAAGTCCATTGAATGGTTTTGCTCTATATAACGCATTAAAGAAAAACCGCCCATTTTCAACCTTGTCGCCATTTTCATTGCATGATTCACCGGTTCGCATTAGGCCTACCACTAAAAGTTGAAACGATCGCGCCATATTGCAAGCTACAGCAGTGTAACAAGTGAACAGAAGTCGACAGATATTATTTTTCCCAAATTTTGTTTGCCTGCTGAGATCATGGCTACGTTTAGTAAAGAGCAGATAGCTTTTTGTATTGAACATTACCTCTCCACAAACTCACCATCCCTGACATTTCGTAAGTTCTGCGCACGGCATTGAGAGAATGCTTTGGTACCCTCAAGACCTATGGCTTCATGAGTAGAGAAGTTCCGTCAGTTTGGATCTATAGCGAATCAGAACTAAAAAGTTCTTTAAAAAATGACCACTTCAGGTCGAACACGCACCATGCGCAGTCCTTTAAACGTCACCAGAGTGCAGATTACAGTAGCCGAGTCCCATGAGACGTCTGTCCGTAGACGATCTGCAGCTAGGACTTTCCTGCACCTCAACAGTCTGCATTCTCATGGCAGATCTTAACCTACGACTATACCCTGTTCATCTCCGCTAGGCCGAGATGACATGGATCAGAGCATGGCAATGTGTTCATGATTCCTCGATTGTCTTGTAAAGAGGAATCATTTCCTCGATGACATTTCGATTTAGTGCAAAGCCCATTTTCATCCTTCATGATATGTTAACTCCAAAAATGCTGTCTATAGGGCACCCCACTCTATTGTCTCTAGAAGCCACTTCTTAGTGAACATGTGCAGTGTATTTGGCTTTAGAAACTCATGGTTTAGCAGGTCCTTGTGTTAGGGCGCCACTGAATATTTCGAACGACACGTTAAAAATGTGTCGAATCGAAAGGAGGGATTGTGGAGCACTGCTTCTAGGAATTGCAGAATGAAATCATTAGGTTTTTAAAACTCTGTAAACGAAATTAAATATTGTTTAATTGTCACAGGGGTTGAAAATTAATGCCAAAGAGAAAATAAAGAAAAAAGTCAACATATCTTTTCACGACTTCCTTTACAAGATTTTTAAACATTTGTGATCTTTGCGTTTTTGGGTGCTTTTTTCTTTTAGCCGTTTCCGTTTTCAAAACATGTTTCTTCATCGTGGATTTTATATCAAACAAATTCCTTTTGAATGAATTATGTCTGTTCCAAATTGCAGCATTCTATAACAATTTTTGCGCGAGATATTCAGAAAAAAATTTGTAAAGTTTTTTTTGATCACCCTGAAATAATTATACAAGACAGACGAGCAAGAAATAGAGAGATTGGGAGTGTGTGTGGGGGGAGGGAGAGAGAGAGAGAGAGAGAGAGAGAGAGAGAGAGAGAGAGAGAGAGAGAGAAAGAGAGAGAGAGAGAGAGAGAGGGAGAGAGAGAAAGAGAGAGAAAAAGAGAGAGAGAGAGAAGGGGTTAAAGGAAAAAAATAGCATTTATTGTAAAGTTTGAAACCAATCATTTCAACAGTATTTTATCTTCCCTAATCTATCCCTTGTCAATGTTGTCGACATCGTGTAAACTCTCGGCGAATCACGATAAAAAAATTATGCAGCCTTTTCTTCGCAAAAAGCGGCCGTGTTGAAAACCTTTTCAATTTCACTTCTACGTTCATTTCCTCTGACACCAGCCCAGCATAGATTATCAGGGCATAGAATCTAGTTTCCTATCCCATGTGGATTGCCATTATAGTTTTGATAAACTACCACTCCCAGTGCCCCCCCCCCCCCCCCGAAAAAATAACAAATAAATAAATGAAGAAATGAAGAAAGACAAAAAGAAAGAAAGAAGGAAAGATATAAATAAATAAATAAATACATTATAATCACTTTCCCCCTCTTTCTAAACTTGAGACTATGTGAAATGGTGTAGACCCCTTATGTGTGCATGGTTGTTATGTATGTGTGATTGTGCGTCTGTATGCGAGTGCATATATTATGTGTGCTTGTGAGTGTATATGTGTATGTATGAATGTATGTATGTGTGTGTGTGTGTGTGTGTGTGTGTGTGTGTGTGTGTATGTGTGTGTGTGTGTGTGTGTGTGTGTGTGTGTGTGTGTTTGCCGTTGGAAGACAGGTTTAAGAACATTTTCAGTGTCTTAGACTGGAGGATCAATATACTTAGAACCATGTTATCTGATCTTATCGAACCTTCCTCCCCGCCTAACCTGTGGTCAGAGTCAAACTCATGGTACAACCTCACGTTGCCGGGGTGTTTTTTTCAAATTGTTGTTTTGTTTTGTTGTTGTTGTTTTAGGGGAGTGTATTTGTTTGTTTGTTTGTTTGTTTATTTGTTTGCTTGGGCTTTAGTTTTGGTCTCAGTTTTAATTTCAGTTTAAAGTTTGTATGGGTTTAATAGTGTCTTTAACCCTTTGGCTCTACCTAATAGGAGATGGACTTTAAATTTGGAGGTCCTGCCTCATAGATAACACATCATAAAGCCTAACCGCTATGACTTTTCTCTGTTTCGACTTCAGGTTACAACTGCTCCTTGTTTGCGTACGGCCAGACTGGCTCAGGGAAATCTTACTCCACATTCGGCTATGGCTCCAACAAGTAAGTTGTTTGGGAGGGGGGGTGTGTGTGAACTGTGTCAGTCTTCATTTTGAAGACCTTCACTTTCCATTTGCCTACAGAATAAGTCAGTAACGTACATACCTCAGTATCTATACAAACACGCACGAAAGCACACACGCATACACACACAAACACCCCCACCTCCACACACACACACACACATACACACACATGCACAAAGGCACACAACTACGGGCATATACACACACACACACACACACACACACACACACACACACACACACACACACATACACACACACACACACACACACTACATATCGTACCTGCTCTAACGACTGCTTGCATAAGACAAGCATGATTAGTGTGGGGTAGGGGGTGGTGGGGTGTTGAGGGAAAAACTACCAACCCCTCCCACTCTTCTTTCTGCTTTCCCATGACTATGATCTGAGCTTTCTCTTCCTGATTCTCCCCCCACACAACATAGCTGTACCTGTTTTAACGGCTACCTGTATAAGACAAGCGCCTGAGCCAGTTGTTCAGGATTTGCACGTCTTGATGTGACAGTTTTGAGTCTTAGCTCATCAATCTCTCTGTCTTTACTAGGAGTGTTTATCTCTCTTTTCTCTCTCTCTCTCTCTCTCTCTCTCTCTCTCTCTCTCTCTCTCTCTATCTCTCTC